TGGTGCGGTAACCGTCCGTGCGCCTTCATTCATTCGTTCGCTTCACCGGGGGCGGCTTTTGTTTCTGTGGGTACGTGCGTGCGTGTGTGTAAGTGCGTGAATGTGTGTGTAAAGTGTGTGCGTGTAAGTGTTTGGGGGGAACGGTAGTGTCGCGGTTAGCGCGCTGCGTCACGAACCCGGCCACCAGAAGTCGATTGTTGCTCACGGTCAACACAAGTGACGATTATCTGAAACGGTCATAGGCCTCCCCTAGGTCGACTCAGCCTCAAATGAACACCTAGTGTAATGTGTAAACTTATCCAGTGGGGAGGCAAAGGCGGTCTGCTGTAGTGCTGGCCACCCAACCTCTCGTGTACTTATCCGGCCCCTATCGCCTGAACAAACTGTTGGGGCAAGTGCTGTTAGCGAGCAGCACCTGTGAAAGCCTGCATGGCACACGAGGGCGTGGGTCGCCCGGCACCACGCCCGGCTACAAACCACCCCGATCCCTCCGCCTCCGCCCTGCGTGTCGCGTCTCTGCATTGCCATCACCACCACCACCGCACGGCGCCTCTCTCACGAAATCCTTGACAATCTTTTGTGGATTCTCACAAACGGCTCTATGGAAGGTGCGCCGCACGGCTCCCATCAAGGCCTCCCACGGTCACACTCTGTGCATCCGGCTTCCACAGCAGCATTGCTCCCCCCCCCCCCCCCCCGCACGACTCACCACCGTCAAAATAATAATTTTGGGTTGTTCTTGTTGTCGTTGTTGTTGGGATTTTTTTTACATACACACAAAAAAATATCCCCGCGTTTACGAGCGGGTGGAATTTATCTCCCCGTTTGGATAACGACGGAATCGTTCGTGTAAATTCAAGACGGGACGCACCCACCACCTTGATGTCCTCCTCTCGTGGCCTTGCCCCCGTCTTACTCGCCCTTCTCATCTCACTCCACTCCCTCCCCCTGCCACGCACTCTCTTCAGTTCCAGCAGCCGATGGCTTTCTGTCATAGCCGCCAGGTGACCTTCACTCGGTGGGAGGTCGCTCGTTCTCCTGCAACTCCCTTCCGGCCGCCATCCCTGCTGTCAGCTCCCTGGGGTCCCCTGACCAAGACCCTTAATTCCCTCTGCCTGTGACGCCGTCTAAACCCGTATCGTACTGCAAAGTCTACATTAGTATGGCAAGGACAAGCATATGCTTAGGATCCCTATCGGCGTTTAATTGGATTGTGGCAATCGTATCAAACACGGGCGGGTGTGTTGAGTGAAGGGTTTTCAGTCGGGTCCCGGATGGGGATTTGAACTCGTAACTTTGTGATTGTGAATCGAGCGGTCCAACCGCTTTCGCCGCGGTGCAGCACGACAGTCAATAACAACCCGGCGTGGATTTATACAGCGGCGTCCAAATGTCACCGTAGCTCATGACTGTACAGCAACAGTGGGGCGCATGCATACAGTGGTTTTGAGAGAGACGGGGGGGTGGGTGGTAAGTCGGTGACAGGCAGAGAGGAAGAGAGAGGTCTCGAGCCTGGACTTGGACGGGGACAGCAGGGAGCCGGCAGTACGGATTGCTGGGGGGGAGAGGGGTTCCAGGTGATGGAGGCAGTAGATGGGGAATGAGCAACCGCCATCGCATCCCCATAATTCCAGACTGTCAACGTGACGTGGCCGCGATCTGATTTATGCAAACGACAAATAAGCTGTGCGACAATTGTTATTTAAAGCTTGTGGGGTTTTGTTGTTGTTGTTCATCATCTGGACCCCCCCACCCCCCTCCAACTAATAGCGAGGGATTCTTGTTCGGTATTCGTGTCGTTCATTCTGTGCTCGCGCGAGCGCGAGGAGGTTTCGCGAGGTTGTGGACTCCTCCTCCTCCAGCACTCCGACAGCGGCAGGCACCTGTGCACTCTCCGTCGAGTGATATCATCCTGCGGCATCAGATCAACTTAACGATTTAGTCACGTCCCTGAAACGCGGTGGCAATTTGTGACAGGGTGAGGCGAAGCTCGCTGCGCGTTCCGCGCGCCGCGACTCAGCGGAATCGCGGCGCGGATCGATAGACGCATTTCGGTTTTTTTAGACGATTTCGCCATCCATTCTTTCCTATTTCTCCTCCCGCTCGCTCCCTCACCCCTCCACCCACCCCGTCTCTCTCGTTTATAGTCAGTAGAGATTCCACCTCTGATGTACAATGCAAACTGGGACATTTTCATGGGATTAAGGAGACTATCTCACAATACCAAGTTTCATCATTTATTTATATTTTGGGTTCGGCCACGCTATGATCCCGGGGTAAATTTGTGTCGTTAAAAATCCTTCACCACCTCACGCGGCAACGGACAAATTACATTGTCACGTGATGTAAGCCGTTATCCGTCGAACAAAAACAGCGGTCACCGCATCATCGCGCGGCGCTTTCAGATGCGCTTCTGCGGCCGTCTGGAACGCTCTTCCTTCCGATGTTAGGAAGCCACCGGAGCCGTGCACTTTTAAATCTAGTTTAAAAACACAATTATTTAGAAGTATTTTTGTGTGTTTAGTGTTGTTGTCCTTCCCCCCGCACCTCCGATTAGCACGGTTGGCTACGTACGGTGCGAAAGAAGTTCAGCGTACGTACATTAACGCGTCGGCTAACTGCTGTTTCGGCTCGCACACGAGCCAGTCGAGAGAAGATTCTCACCGCGCAAGTGTAGCGATTGGGCACGATGACGTCTCGCTTGAAAGTGCGTCAAGCAGCGTCAGCACGAGATCCAGGAGGCCGGAGGAGAAATGCAGGGAGTCGGAATGAACACCGCGAGAGGGGAGAGAGCTCCGTGTCCTCGCGTTATCGCGAGTGGTGGATGATTATGCAACGCACAAAAAACCGCGACTTTTAATGTCACGGGGCGTATGAAATGAACGCCTCGGGCCGTATGTGACCTGTGGCAGTAGGGTCCCCCATCCCTGCACGGGAGCATCGTGGGAAGGTTGCCTGAAGAATAGGGTTACCACCTCTAAGACACGAAACGCCAGCACGTCGTATCACGGGAAGAAGACTATCTCACAATGCCAGAGGAGGCGAGAGCTCCGTGGAAGTGATAAATCACGGGACTGTCAATGTCTCGGTGGAGACTTCCCGGGACAGCAGGAGGAACGATCCTGGGAGAAACCAGGACAAGGGGCGCTCCGACCCACGGGCCCCCGGTGCAGTTGCACCGCCTGCGCTCTTGATCTCTACGCCACTGGTTTAGAACCGTTGTGTAGTGCCGGGTGAGAGATTGCTGAGACTGCACGTCGTGTGAAGACGGATTTCCCCAGGACAGCGGCTGCTTCGATAAGGGAACGATGCTGCGGGTGGGATCTCTTAGAGTCCGCAGCCTACAGGGCGAAACAGAGGGGTATGTGCAATCAATGCCTCTTTCGATGTGCTGGGAAGAAGGCCCATTGCCCGTAACGTCGCCTGTTATTTAGATATTCTTTGCTACTATTGGCGAATGTGTTGCAGGGGTTTTTTTCGTCGTTGTCACGTGTGCCTGTGCTCGCGGGTTCATGTCGTGTCTGTGCACGCGTTACCTTTTGTACGGAGCGCATCTATTGTTGTTGTCGGTGACTCGTGGTCCAGTGTCCCCTTCCCTTCGTGCTTCAGTTTCAGTTTATTTATTTGGTATAGCCCTGTGAGCCATTCGGCTCTTGAGTCGCCGGGAACAAGACGCTATTGTTGAGAGTGCGCGAAGTGCCTCTGCGTTCGAGCGAGAACCTGCGTGTGACCTTCACGCAGCGAACGCACGCACGCACGCGTAACACGCACAAATATCCTCTGTTTAGCCTTGCAGACTGTAGGGGCAAGTGCTGTTAGCGAGAACCTATCAAGGCCGGCACGGCACTCGAGGGGGTTGGTGGCGAGGACCACGCCCAGCGCCTTTGTCTCCCGAATGGCGATGTTTACTACACACCTCACCCGGTACTCATTTGAGGCTGAGTCGAGGGGAGGCCCCGTAGCGGTTCAAGTATTCGCCACTTTTTATTGGTCGTGAGCGAGAATCGAACTCGTTTCGCCGGGATCGTAGATTTTTGTGCCAACCGTTGCGCCACCGCTCCCCATACACGCACACATGCGCGCGCATGCGGTGCGCTCGTCACGTGTTACAGACGCAGCAGGCGACCCGTGCGTGCAGAGTGCGTTCGGAGTGTCTGGGGAGTGCGTGCGGAGTGTGTGCGGAGTGTCTGTGGAGTGTGTGCGGAGTGCGTGCAGAGTGTCTGTGGAGTGTGTGGAGTGTGTGCGGAGTGTCTGTGCAGTGCGTGCGGAGTGCGTGCGGAGTGTCTGTGGAGTGTGTGCGGAGTGCGTGCGGAGTGTCTGTGCAGTGCGTGCGGAGTGCGTGCGGAGTGTCTGTGGAGTGTCTGTGGAGTGCGTGCGTAGTGTCTGTGGAGTGCGTGTGGAGTGTCTGTGGAGTGCGTGAAAAGTGTCTGTGGAATGCGTGCGGAGTGTCTGTGGAGTGCGTGCGGCGTGTGTGCGCCGTTCATCCAACCACAGTCGTTCGCTGAATCGCAGCGAAATCGAGAGTCGCGAGTTGATTCAAGAACTGATTATTTCGTCATAAACCACACCTGAAATAACCATCGGCACTTGCCAAATATCAACAAAACCGTAAACGATCTCTCACTTCCCGAGGACCAAGGGACGCGTAATTCATTAACACCTGTACATTATTAACGCCAGGGCAGAAGGAGGAGAAGAAGAAGAATAATCGCCGTGTTTGTTTTTGTTTTGTTGGGGAAATGTTTGTGTGTGTGTGTGTGTTTACTGCGCCCTGAGATTCACACGCACGCCGCCAACACCTAACGCCGACTTCAATTCCGCGCGTGGTGGGTGGTGGAGTGGGTGGAGTGGGGAGGGGGAAGACCACCAACATGTTTGCGGCGATAAGAAAATAAATGACGACCGATTGTCGCGCCGCGCCGAGTCGCTCATTGTGACAACGAAGGCCCGCGTGTGCGATGTCGAATTAAAAGTCTCCTCCGAACCGCCGTCTCTTGCAGATGCACCACCCCATTCAGATGAAGCCGGCCGACAGTGAGAAGTCAAGTGGTGAGTGCCGCAGCTGCCGCTGCTGCTGCCGATTCCATTCACCGCAAATCTGCACCGTGCCTTTGTTTTTGTACGCGGTTTTCTTTGGCCTACCGGCAGAACGCGTGGGGGGGGGGGGATTTGGGGGTGGGGGCGCCCCACCTCTCCACCCCCCACCCAATTCAATTGTTGCATCGCAAAGCGATCTCTGTCCGCACTCGTCGAGACTGAGAGAGATATCAATTATAGTGACATTCGTAGAAACACGTGAAAGTGGACTACGTTCGGTTGCACAGGGACGGTTCGTGAATGTGGCTGCCACGTGAGGACCCCATGCACCGGCATTGATAGCTGTGTAATTAAATGCACCTCCACATGTTTACATCGAGATCCATTGATTAATGAGACCCCGAACACCTTCATAGATATTCATTAAATCGTAGAGATACCGTCAAAATAACCACCTCATTGCTTTCGCGGAAATGTATTCGTTAAAGTTGCCCATATTCACTTCCATAGATATCTGTTGACAATACACATATAAACACTGAAGCAATACCCATAGCATCGCAATGTTATCCCTGTCGTCGAATGCCTCTCTGGTGCCTGCGATCGTGCAATCCAAATCAAGCGCCTGGCTGAGCGGGAGCTCGCCTCATTAGAGGGGCCTCGCTGACAATGAGTGCGGCGATCTCCTCTCTCTCTCTCTCTCTTAATGGACTTCTAGCGAAGTGAATAGGAGAGGTCGTTAAGACGCATGGAATTCGGCAACCAATCACTACGCCCGTCATTAACAACGGCCCTTGCAATATATATAAATGTACTAATAGGTCGACGTTGTAGGCAATGGCCCTTCTCCACAGAGACTTGTGGGGCAAAGAGACAAATTTACATCTTTTTTTGTTCCTAACGATCAGCTTGTAATTGACATATGAACAGTTTTCCCATTAGCAGGCGTCGGGCGGCACGCAAACAAATGCCCTGCTTGCAGATCGTTTCTTTTCCACACTCCCCCTTCTTCGACACACATAGTCAGGTCCCTCCCTCCCTCCTTGTTTTTTTCGATCAGAAGAAAAAAAAATGCTCGGTTATTCGGCACTTTGCTTCATTCATCATGTCGGTTTCTTTGGTTTTAAATTTTTTGCTATGGCCTTTCTTTTTTACAACTCTCCCTCCATACATCCATCCCTCCTCACTCCTCCCTCCCTCCATCTCTCCCTCCCTCCCTCCATCTCTCCCCCCTCCCTCCCTGCACCCCTCCATCTCTCCCTCCCTGCCTCCATCTCTCCCCCCTCCCTCCCTGCACCCTCCATCTCTCCCTCCCTCCCTCCATCTCTCCCTTTCTCCCTCCCTGCCTCCATCTCTCCATCCTGCCTCCATCTCTCCCTCCCTCCCTCCCTCCATCTCTCCCTCCCTGCCTCCATCTCTCCCTCCCTCCATCTCTCCCCCCCCTGCCTCCATCTCTCCCTCCCTCCATCTCTCCCTTCCTCCCTCCATCTCTCCCTCCCTGCCTCCATCTCTCCCTCCCTCCCTCCCTCCATCTCTCCCTCCCTGCCTCCATCTCTCCCTCCCTGCCTCCATCTCTCCCTCCCTGCCTCCATCTCTCCCTCCCTGCCTCCATCTCTCCCTCCTCCCTCCATCTCTCCCTCCCTGCCTCCATCTCTCCCTCCCTCCCTCCATCTCTCCCTCCCTCCCTCCATCTCTCCCTCCCTGCCTCCATCTCTCCCTCCCTCCATCTCTCCCTTCCTCCCTTCATCTCTCCCTCCCTGCCTCCATCTCTCCCTCCCTCCCTGCCTCCATCTCCCCCCTCCCTCCCTGCACCCCTCCTCCTCCCTCCCTGCCTGCATCCCTCCTCACTCCCCCCTAATGCGAGTGGTCTAAATGAAGGTTTTTGTTGGCGCGATGCAATGATCTCGGGCCATAATTCACCCTTAATGCACTGCTGGTGTGAACGCACTGCAGTGGCCAGTGGTTTATGGTCCTCGGGGAAGTGCGTTTAACACCACTACCACCACGCCTGCACACGCCCACGACCAGACATCCTTGGTCCTCGGAAGATAAGCAAGAGTTGAGCCTGGTTCAGTGTTGTCCTTGAATGGGAGATCATCTGAGAATACCGGGCCTTCTAGGTTCGTGGATGAGCTGTGAGGTGGCCCAGTGAGATGGGAGTACGGACATCGATTGTTGAATCCATCTGCGCGGCTCTTGGGAGTGTTACTGCCTCCTATTCAGACTGTTAAGGGAAGCTGGCCGATGGTCCAGAATAAAGATTGAGTGGCAGCCAAGGAGGAATTGTACGCATCTGGGAGGTGCTTCGAGGATTACTACATCGTAGGATCGTCAGAGATGTTAACGGGGTGGAGAGACCTTCATCCAGCAGTGGATTTATCATAGCTGACGATGATTGATGATGACGACGACGACATGTGGGCTTCGTCATTAGCAGAGTAGGATGGACTAGCGTGAAGAGCCGTGCGTGCAGCGAGCGGTGTGTGTGTGTGTGCGCGCGCGTGCGAGAGAGAGAGAGAGAAAGATGATCACAAAGTTTACAGTCGACACGGAGAGCAATGAGTGACCTTGCTAAAACTGTTTCCATCTAGCACGCTCCCACTGAAGTGTGATGCATGCGCTCCATTGGTGTTCCAAGGCTTTTATCTCAGCCTGGAAGAAGCCTTTTGTCTCGCTCCCTAAAACACAGCTAGTTCCTAGCACAACGTCGTCTTCATCGTCACGGAAGAGGATTGCTTCCGCTACTGCAAGGGAAAACATCTGGAAGTCACTGGCAGCTCGGTCTGATGAGGAGCGGGTTGTTTCATGCCTACAATGCGCCACGGTGGCTCGGAGATGTTAACTACCTCGCCTTGTATACAGGAGGTCGTGGGTTCCATCCCGACCCTGACGCCTGCTGTATATTTGGAGTTTGCGTGTCTCTCTCCCCGTGATCGCGTGCATTTTTCTCTGGGTCCTCTGGTTTTTCCCTCCACATTTAGAGACATACATTTAGAGTATTTGGCTGTGATAAATTTGCACGTGAAGAGCCACTTCGTTGAGCTATCATTTGTGGCCATTTCGCTTCTCAAAAAGATATATATAGCTCAGTGGGCCTTACCTGGTGAAATAAAACAAAATAAAACATTGTTTAGTTTTGAGTTTTATCAACGCCTTTATTTTAGAGCAGGTAGGATCTCGCTCAGACCGCAGACTGAAAGAGTATATTTACAAAAGCATACATTGTAACAGCAAATAGATTCATTTTCACGACCAGTGTCAAGATTCATCACTGAGCTTTGGAACAGATCGTGCGTATATAAAATGTGTCGTAAAGCCTCCGCCACCTCGCAACTGCCCGGTGATGCTGGTTGTTTGTAACTACCAGCAAATGGTTAAACATGCGTGTAGATCGTTCTAACATACCATAATAAATGCGAAAACAAGGCCTGGTCATCTCCTCCGATTGGTCATGCCCCTACCCAAAATAAAAAAAAATATCTATCACCTTGGAAAAAAAAATACGTTAATATTTAATGACCACAATTAATTGTAATTTCTACGATTTACGTGATAAATGTTACATTAAACGTGAACTTATTTAGATATTTTCAATTACGTTAATCACGTCGCTCCAATAATAATTAAACTTGCAAATGAGCGTCAGCCGCACTCGATGGGGAACGATGCTAGTAGTAGCGGCGGCAGCGCCGCGTTTCATTCCTGTGCCTCTGCCCGAGCCGTGCGGAGCCCTGGGACGGCACGATGGGCAGACGGGACATTTTCTTCCGCGATAGACTCCAGAAAACAAAACAGACCCAAAATAACACACACACGAAATGTCAAACCGCGTGAAATGTGAGGACAATTGCTTCATTGTTTATAAAAGTAAAAAAAAAAAATCTATGTACCCAAATGACTTTCATTGACTTGCACATTCTATGTCTATTTATGCTTTCTTAGCTTATATTTCAATGACACTCGTATCCACTAACACAACAGCAATCCTCAGCGTAGCCATGCGAGCACAGCAAATGTAAATGTCTACGCCGCTGTGTGTAAGCGGTAGGAGTGGAATGAAAACCCCTTCAATTCGATTTGAGGCTAAAGCACCGATTGGAACGGAGGCGCGCTCTCGTTTGAAACCGGCGAGCCGAGTTAGCTTCCCGGCCACGGCTGACATCAGTGGCGTGTGATTGATAAGAGCCAATCCTCCTCGGTCTTCCAACGTCACCAACCCCACGCTGCCCTGGGTGGTGAAGTATGGTCAAAACAAGCCAAGCAACTGACGTGGCTCGGGGAGGCCTTTCATCCAGCAGTCATTTAACAAATGGGGCGGTAAAAATGATTGTTATATTCAAGCATGACGCGATTTCTCCACCGTGTATTACCATTCGTTTTAAGTATAATGTAACGCAGCGCTCTCACAAAGCGGGCCACACACTTTTACGAAATAACGTTTAACGTTTTCTTTAACGCACGATGAACACCTTAACTGAGGTGACTCACAATTCCCCATCGATGCGCGCCCCGTGCATTTTGCCTTTGTTAGCATCTGTGTTTTTTCTTTCTCTTAAATCCCGCAACGCCGCGCGATGATCGTCAGCTGCTCGGTTTATTTCGGGCAAGGCACGTTGAGCCGACCAGCTCCACGCACCACGGTAGAGAGAGAGGGCCCAGGGTTTATTTATTTTTTATGTTTTTATATTTTTTGTTATCTCGAAATATTCAGTTGTAAAAAAAATGCGGCTTGCATCCCCGGGTGACCTCCTCCACCCCCACCACCACCACCGCCACCACCACCACCACCGCCACCACCTCCACCACCTCCACCATCTCCTCCTGCACTACCGCCACCACCACCACCACCGCCACCACCGCCACCGCCGCCACCGCCGCCACCACCACCACCACCGCCGCCACCACCGCCACCACCGCCACCACCACCACCACCACCTCCACCATCTCCTCCTGCACCGCGACTGCTGTTTGGCATTCGGGGTTCCACCGGCGGTCGCTGCCGCCGGTGGCTTCCCTGACGGGGCCGGCGGGCGGGGGGCTGGGGGAGGGGGGCTGGGGGCTGGGGGCTGGGGCCATCACGGGGCTGTGATGGCAGCCGTGGCTGCTCGCCTAATTTAAGTCGGGGGCGCAACCTCATTCTCCAGGACGGTGAACACCGAACCTGAAATCCGCACCACCCCCCGCATGCACGCGCGTGCCACGCCACAGCAAGCGGCCACTTTGGAGCCCTTTTTCCTTCTTCATGGTGATGTTTTGGTGGTGGTGGTTGTGTTTTTAGTGGTATTGATGATGTTGATGGTGATGCAGGTGGTGATATTGATGGTGGTGATTGTGTTTTTGGTGGTGGTATTGATGATGTTGATAGTGATGTTGGTGGTTGTGTTTCTGGTGGTGGTGGTGTTTTTGATGAAGTCGATGATGAGGTTTGCAGAGGTGAGTGGGGGTGGTGCAGCGGTTGGCACATTACGAATCAGGCGAGTTCGAATCCCATTCACGGCTAACTTCAGTGGCAGTGACAGATCCAAGGGGGTGGTATTTATTTGCATTTACCAGAGAACATAGATTTAATATTTTTTACTAATGTATATCTCTATTTAGATATTCCAGGACCACCTGTGCCTACTAAGGTCTACACATGATTATGGATATTAACGGTGACTCTGGTTCATTTTAAATGTGTGTGGAATTACTCTGACTCCAATCTACCTTCAAAATGCGACGTTTAGTCTTAATTGGCTCTCACCCTGGTTTAAATAAAATTGATGAATGAATGAATGGTGATGAAAGGTGATAATGATATAATAACCCTTGTAGAGGAATAGCACAATATAAAATACAATATGACAATTTAACTCAAAATAATATCAAGTTTTTTTAGGCTGCCACTGAGGAAAGGAAGAGCTATGGTACGGTCAGCTGACCTCCCTGTCGTCTTTACTTATTTATTACAATTTACAGCACCCTTTTCAATCCACTGCTGGATGAAGGTTTCCCCATGCCGTGGCTGGAAACCGAATCATAGCGCAGTGTGCTAACCTCGGCGCTACTACTCCGCAAAACGCACTCCGATTAGCACGGTTGGCTACGTACGGCGCGAAAGAAGTTCAACATACAGTGCGTACATACAAAGCAGGACCCTCGTGAAAATGAGCCTCGGGACTCGGCGAGGATTTGCTGGACACGCAAAATATTTTTTTCCGCGCTCGCGACCCAATGTGTTGCTGGTGCTTCAGCTGCTGCATTGCTATTTGGATTGGCCACTACGGTTTTAATAGTTTACCCAACTTCACCCACACCTTAATTGGATGTTTAACTGTTACGCGTTGCTCGGTCACTGCGGCAAGCCTCCGTGCTCGCTGATGTTTCCTCTGTCTTATTTGATGTCCGAGAGCTGTCCCCACGTTCAGTGCAGTTTCATTTATTAGGTATAACCCTGTGAGCCATGTGGCTCTTGACTCGGGTGCAACCGCAACAAACAAAAACATGAACAAAGAAACATGTTAAAGTGACGGCACGCAACAGAAAAATCCAGGAAAAAACAACACGTGAAGCGTCCCACATAGAGACGGCCCCTCGTAATGAGATGCCATATATAAACGAGAAACTATTATGTGTATACACTTGTACAATCGCCTCCTTGTCTCTACAAACACACGCCTGTCAACCGCAACTCTTTTTCATCTCCGCGATCAGCAAAGGCGGCACCATGAGGCCCCCTGTGGTCGAATCCATGCCACTGCACGGGAGTTCAGGCTCCAGGAGGTTTCCCGTCTCAACACGAAGACAAAGACCCCCCCCCCCCACCGTGTAGCCTTAACAGAGTGTTGGGGCAAGCGCTGTTTGCGAGCAGCGCCTATGGAGGCCGGCACGGCACACGAGGAGTTGGGTGGCCAGCACCACGCCCGGCCACCTTTGTCTCCCCAGCGGCGATGTTTACGCGTCGCATCAGGTACTCATTTGAGGCCGAGTCGACCTAGGGGAGACCCCGGACCGGTGCGGATAAATTGTCACTGATGTTGGTGGCAGTGAGCAGGGAACACGAACCCGTGTCGCCGGGTTCGTAACGCGAAGCGCTGTCACCGCCACGACACTACCGCTCAACAACGTACGGCACAAACGGGCACGACAGCCGGGGGTATCCGCACGGGGCTATGAACCAGAGAGGGCTTCAGGTCAGCCAGGTTCTGCCAGGGTCAGCAGCTACCCGGAAAATACTTCCGCAGCCGGCACACCACGTCCATCATACGTCTCGCCAACCGGCTGTGGCTCCTACCGCTACTGCAACAACGACTGCAAGTCCAAGTGTTTACCTCCTGCAATTCTCCCCAGCTTTCCCGGAGAAATGTAAGCGGCCGGGCACACAGAACGATGCGTCAATTAAGGTTGACTTCCTCAGCGCAGTCGGATCCTCGCCATGGACCCTCGTGAGCGAGGAGTGACGTCTTACAACGGAACGTGACGGACATCCGTGGGAACGTACCGTGTCCAGTACCTTCGGACATCTTTCGCACCGCACGCGAGGTTGCCGGAGGCCGCTTGCACCACGCACGCGACAACAACAAAACAACAAAAAACGATTCGTGATTTCCGAATCGCAGCGGTGTGTGTGGTCCGTCCCAACGTCTGCGTCTCACAATACCCGAGGACTTGGCAGCCCACCGACAGTAAACAACAACAATTATAATCAATCAGCGATACCCGTCCCAGGATAGGAGGAGCCAGCTGCAATTGAAATCAAGTCCTTAATGAAGAAGGAAAGGTATTCCATTAAGGAGCTTAAATGTGTCACCTTAGGGCGGGGCAGGGCACAGATGGCTTTGTGGTATTCTTCATGCTTGGTTAACTCCACGCGTTCCCGTGAGAATATTCATTAATTCCTCAAACTTTAAAGATTGACCGACCAGCCGATGTTTCTATCGACCCTTTAGCTTCACCACCGTCGTTCTAGTTTCAGTGAAACTACATTCGCTCGTGTGCTCTTTTCCTGTGTGCGCAGAGGCTGAAGAGACTTTCCGGAAAATAGAGACGCTTCAGCAAGATTCAATATAGTCAATTATACGTTCACATAATCGTCTTGTGTCAATAAAATAAACTTTGTGACATGGTTAAATGACCATTCGCCTAGAGGCTTTAACAATCTTGTTAGAAATGATTAATTTATAATTTTAAAAAAACAGACACGGTGGTTCCACAGAGACGTGCAGAATTGAAATTCAGACTTTATTTATTTTAGACCTCTGCCAATTTCATACATTACCTTTAGAGAACATTTCCCTTTGTTAGTGATTTCAAGCAAAATACATGCTTTAAAGTGTTTTTTTTGTGCAATCAGATGCTGTGCTAATTGGAAGGTAATCTGTGGCACCGTGAGTTAGGGTCCAAACTTGGTGACTTTAACTCTTTGGTCACTGGCCAGTCTTGAGTTGCAGCTGCAGTTAAATCCAAACTGCTTTGTCGCGTGAAGAGTTGTAAGTGTGCGTGGCTTATCATTTGAAGCAATGGGAGTTGAAGCGGCCGGTTGGCTCAAGTTGTCAGATCACTGAGCAGGCAATTGCTGACATCCTGGTTTGGAATCCGAGTACCATCCGCCTGTGACTAAACCGGGTTCTCGAGTGGAGCGAGGTCATGGTTGTAGCCCAGTCGCGCCACTACCAAATGATCTCTCGTCATCGTTAGAGTCTTCGTTGGTTGAACACCCTCAACCAAAGACGCTTAGAGTATCGCGTAGGCCTGAGTAGCTCCCATATAGCGGATATGGGCACCCGCATCAGGCAGGTCTGAGACGTTAACTACCGCAACGGGAATACAAGAGGTCGTGGGTTCAATCCCGACCCTGACGCCTGCTGCTGTATAATTAGAATTTGCGTGTCTCTCTCCCCGCGGTCGCGTGGATTTTTTCCTCTGGGTTCTCCGTTTTTTTCCCGCCACGTCTAGAATGGACGTCACGCATTTAGAATATTTGGCTGCTGTGAATGTCCACATGTCGATAAGCCGCTCCGTCAAGCTGTCATTTATCATAGCCAGGTCGCTTCTGAACAAAAATAGAGATACAGAGCTCAGTTGGGCCTTCTCTAGTCAAATAAAAATAACTAGTTTACAGTTTAGATACTCAGAGATCGATAGGCGTTCCCTTCACCGTGGCCGCACCTGGGTTCCCCCCCCCCCCCCCCGTCAATCGAACTAAACTCGACCCTCGGCTGTCGCGCAGTGGAGGAGCGGAAACTCTTCATCGGCATGATCTCGAAGAAGTGCAGCGAGAACGACATCCGCGCCATGTTCTCCCCCTTCGGCCAGATGGAGGAGTGCCGCGTGCTGCGCGGGCCAGACGGCCAGAGCAAAGGTGGGCGGACGTCACCATCGTCGTCACCACAGTCGTCATCAGCCTCGTCACAGTCGTCATCAGCCTCGTCACAGTCGTCGTCATAACGGCTTATTATTATTATTAATACCGTCGTCGTCGTTATATTCGTTATCGTCGTCGTCAACATCATTATCGCGACAGTCGTCGAATTCATCTTCGCCATCATCGAACGTCGTTTTTTTTCATTGTCGAAGTCGTCATCGTGGTCATCTCCGCAGTCGAGCTCGATGCAGAATCAAACCCACGCAGTACTAGCACACATTGCCTCGATGCAATTATTATTGTCGCTTTATTTTGTTTAAATTACCCGTTGTTGTTGTTGTTGTTTTCATCTTCCTCCTCCCTCCACCTCGTCCCCGTCCAGGCTGCGCGTTCATCACCTACACGGCGCGTGCGATGGCACAGAACGCCATCAAGGGCATGCACCAGTCCCAGACCATGGAGGTGAGTTGTGTCGGTGCGTCCTCACCACCCCTCCCACCACGTGTGGTTAATGCAGACGTCATCCCTTGCAAAAGGTTTCTATTTGGTGTTTGAACATCTTAACACCACTGTTTTATTGCCAGAAAGGGTAAAACCGATTATTATTCTGTACACAGTCTTGTCTATCACCTTCCCGTATCTGTCACCTCGATGTAACACATTTATTTTGCAAAATAATTTAGTTGAACGCATCCCGTCAACCACACGGCCTTCTATCGATTGCGGGGATTTCAGAAGAATTGGTTCAATGCATGCAGAATCCATGGACCGGTTTCGATACACACTGTCTCATCAGCGAAGTTCAGGTCATTTTGAATCAATGCTTTGTGAAACTGCCACATGTTAAAGGCAAGGATCCCCTCTTCTATGTAACGTATGGGTCCTGGTGTTTCATCATCACAGCGTGTTTGACGGAGGTCACACGTGGTGCGAGAGTGGAGACGCGTGTGGGTGACGTGGCATCTTGCTTGATCGACGTCACACGTGGTGGGAGAGTGGGGATGCATGTGAGTGACGTAGCAACTTGCTTGACCGACGTCACACGTGGTGAGAGAGTGGGGATGCATGTGGGTGACGTGGCATCTTGCTTGACCGACGTCACACGTGGTGGGAGATTGGGGACGCATGTGAGTGACGTAGCATCTTGCTTGACCGACGTCACACGTGGTGGGAGAGTGGGGATGCATGTGGGTGACGTGGCATCTTGCTTGACCGACGTCACACGTGGTGAGAGAGTGGGGATGCATGTGGGCGACGTGGCATCTTGCTTGACCGACGTCACACGTGGTGGGAGAGTGGGGATGCATGTGAGTGACGTAGCATCTTGCTTGACCGACGTCACACGTGGTGGGAGAGTGGGGATGCATGTGAGTGACGTAGCATCTTGCTTGACCGACATCACACGTGGTGGGAGAGTGAGAATGCATGTGGGCGACGTGGCATCTTGCAGATGCGGATACCTGATGCACAAATGGACTTGTGAAAAACTGTCCATCGTGTGACTGTGGTCATTCAGAACAGACTGTACGACGTATAACAACGCAATTCCCGATCCACAAATACGAGGGCGACACCACAGCCATACACTCCGCTACTGCTCCTGCTAACGCGGTTGTCTGGCTTGACCACCTGCATGTGGAATTATAGTTGTGGCTCTGCATCTACATCAGCTGTACAAAAGAAGAATAGGACCGTTGGGTTCCTGGCTCGGCTTGGCAAAATGCCAATGGAAAACCACCCTGTACCGTGATGGCCCTGCGCTGGCTCGGCTCGGATGTGGCAGTGGAAAAAGGGGGCATCGGTCTCACGTCACTCCTCGCCCCCCTCCCCCGCCTCCCCAGGGCTGCGCGGCCCCACTCGTGGTGAAGTTTGCCGATACGCAGAAGGACAAGGAGCAGAAGAGGCTGCAGCAGCAGCTGGCGCACATGCAGCAGCTGGGCGCCGCAGCCGGGTGGGGCGGCCTGGCGGGGCTTTCCACCATCGGGCCGCACTACCTCGCTGTGAGTACTCACAACGCTCGCCCCCTGACCCCAACCCTCCGACCCTAATCTCACCCTAACCCACCACGGCTGCACACTCACACGCGGGCACACACACGGTGGCTGCACCAATAGGGGAAGCGTGCTTGACATTGGCCCCGGCGCGAGGAATGAAATGGGGCCTCTCCCCCCCATGCAAGATCACCGCCTCCACACTCCTCACGTCTCCCGCGTGACGACGCAGCATTTCACGCGATGTGGTTCCGAGGCGTCTTGCGCACCAATCGCAGTCGCCCAACACGTCGATGACCTGACACCACGATCACCTGACACCACGGTCACCTGACACCACGATCACCCGACACCACAATCACCTGACACAACGGTCACCCGACACCACAATCACCTGACACCACGATCACCTGACACCACGGTCACCTGACACCACGATCACCTGACACCACGGTCACCCGACACCACAATCACCTGACACAACGGTCACCCGACACCACAATCACCTGACACCACGATCACCTGACACCACGGTCACCTGACACCACGATCACCTGACACCACGGTCACCCGACACCACAATCACCTGACACAACGGTCACCCGACACCACAATCAATCACCTGACACCACGATCACCTGACACCACGATCACCTGACACCACGGTCACCTGACACCACGATCACCTGACACCACGGTCACCTGACACCACGATCACCTGACACCACGGTCACCCGACACCACAATCACCTGACACAACGGTCACCCGACACCACAATCACCTGACACCACGATCACCTGACACCACGATCACCTGACACCACGGTCACCTGACACCACGATCACCTGACACCACGGTCACCCGACACCACAATCACCTGACACCACGATCACCTGACACCACGGTCACCTGACACCACGATCACCTGACACCACGGTCACCCGACACCACAATCACCTGACACAACGGTCACCCGACACCACAATCCCCTGACACCACGATCACCTGACACCACGGTCACCCGACACCACAATCACCTGACACCATGGTCACCCGGCACCACAATCACCTGACACCACGGTCACCCGACACCACAATCACCTGACACCACAATCACCTGACACCACGGTCACCCGACACCACGATCACCTGACACCACGATCACCCGACACCACGGTCACCCGACACCACGATCACCCGACACCACGATCAGTATACAGGAGGTCGTGGGTTCAATCCCGACCCTGACGCCTGTTATATATTTAGTGTTTGCGTGTCTCTCTCCCCGTGGTTGCATGGATTTGACTCCGGGTCCTCCGGTTTTTTCCCTTCCACATTTAGAATCAACGTGCGTTCAGCGTATTCGGCTGCTATACATTTCCATGCAATAAGCAACTTCGTTGAGATACCGTTTGTGGCCAGGTCGCTTTTGAGAAAGAGGAACATAGCTCAGTGGGCTTTGCCTGGTAAAATGAATAGTATTCGTAGATCGTAGCTATTCCACTGGAGCGTACACAACATGAATGGCGTGCACTCACTTCAGTATGTACGTATGTTGAATTTCTTTTGCACCGTATGTAGCCAACTATGGTAATCCGAGGTGCGGGCGAAGGACAACAAACTAAACACAAACAAAAATAATGACGTGCTCCCAGAACCTGTGCCGGGCTAGTTGCCGATTGAACCTCAATAAATAAATCTAAATAACTTGTTGATGTTGGTCGGCACCTGTGCCAGGCTAGGTGCCAAGCACATCAGCTGTCAACAAGTGATTGGGTTGTTAAATTCGGAGGTTGCGAAGGCGTGCGAGTGCACTTGACCAATTTTCACGAACTCGAGGTGAACACTTAAATCGCACTTCTAATTAAATTCGCTTAACTTATTAGTTTTCCCGCTTTTAATTTCAATCCTGTTTCAGATCTGACCGTTGAGTTTGATCTCTCGTGCTTTATTACATTACGTTTTTATTTCATTTGCTTTGCTATTTTGAAAAGAAAACTAATGCGCTCGCGTTATTAATTGTTTTGCCTGTGCTCGTTAGAGCCAGATGTCCTTTATCACTTAAAACTTTTCATCCAAATGGGCTCCCCACCTTGTTATAAGTAAGTAAATATTAATATTATTATTATAGCTGCACTTTGAGGTTAAGTGAAGTGGTCGACGGCCCGCTGGGTGAGGTCATGCTACAGACGAGCGTTTTAAATTATAAAAATAACACAGAGATCATTGGCAGGTACCACCGATTAGCACGGCTGGCTACGTACGGTGCGAAAGAAATTCATCATACATACTAAACTAAACTATTTTTTATTTTACCAGGTAAGGCCCACTGAGCTGTATAGCTCTTTTGTCAGAAGGGACCTGGCAACAATTGATAACTCAACGAAGTGGCTTATCATCGTGTGAAAATTTATAGCGGCCAAATACTCTGAACGCGTGCCGATTCTAAATGTGGAGGGACAAACCGGAGGACCCAGAGAAAAATCCACGTGACTACGGGGGAGAACATGAAAACTCCAATTATCTAGCAGGAGTCAGGGTCGACCTCGTGCATACCAGGCGAGGGAGTTAACATCTCGCCTGCCTGAACACTCACAGCTATCCTCCCGCCCAATGCAGGCAGCGATCACCCAGCAAATCGGAAAGGAGCGTGTGCTGCAGAACGATAGCTTGGATGTACGTGGGGTCTCGTTGCGATCGCATCTCAAGACACGGCTCTTCACTGGCCTCCCTTCTACAAACACCTTCTCCACCATTTGCTGTGCTAATAATGACGCCCTACTGTTGATTTATTGTATAAATATCGCGACTATTTCATAACCATTGTGTATTATTTCATAAATCACCCCGCGAATGACTACAGAATCAAACAACTTACATATACAAAACAAATCAACAAAGACTTATAATATTTTCCAAAATGTAAGTTTTGATTGGTAAGTGCACGATTTGACCTGGAGCTGGATTTTTTTTCTTCATCATGGAGCAGTTGGTCAGCCATGATTGCTCGTGAGAGACACTTATTGACTGACATCTGAATTCCAATGTAATATGTTTATTAAATTGTCATCGTATTTCTACTGATATTCATCGGACCACATTTGTTGTCCTCATAATAATCGCCATGCAGGACCACTATCGATGTATCGAAAACAAACGTATCGATCTTCTTTGGTTCTTTCGGTAAGGTCACGTAGAATGAGAATAAAATAATAAAATAACACAATAAAATTCTCACGACGTTTCGGCCACAACGCAAGCGGCACAAAGAAGATGAATCCTTGCAGTCACGAAAGCTTTAAATCGAAGTTTAAACGTATCGATCGTTAACATCTAGCAATAAAAGTAGGTGATCGGTCAACCCGCATCATCCACGGTCACCTTCCTGGGCACGCAGCCACAACGGCGTCAAAAGACGCTGCCGCTCGTACCGTGAAAACAAACAGCATCCCCGTCGCGACGAGACGATGTTGGAACCACGGTGGGACTCGCCGCGCGTCGTGCCCGCGTGCGTACATTGAACTTCTTTCGCACCGTGCGCAGCCAGCCGTGCTAATCGTAGGCGCAGCCCGAACGGCAAGCCCTGCTGTGGCACCGTCCGTCATGGGGGGGGGGGCGGGTGAGGGGGTCCGTCGACACTTCATCACGAAACACAGAAACGGCGCGTTGCCCCCGCGCGCAATCGTGAACTCGTTAACTCATTTTTATTTGACGTTTTCTGCATTCGCCGTTCACTCCGGAGAGCTGCGCCTCGTGTTTGACATGTAGGTTGTTGTTGTTGATTCGGCTATTTTTCGCCTTGCGTATTTATTAGATTTTGGGGGGGGGAGGGGCGGGGGGAGGGGAGGTTGCATGACAAAGTGGCGATAACAAACAAAAATCCGGTGGAGAGTAAATCGATGGAACCGGTGAGAGATTGGTTCTAACCCTGTCACTAACCTCTCAGCCGGAGGTAAAAGGCCGTCTCGACCCAGACTTATCTCCTTCCCCTGTCAGACAGCCGGCGATGTTAGAGCGGGGAGATTTGCGTGGGCTTTGTTCACAGACCCATGGGCGCTGTCAGGAATTCTACATTTCTCTGGGAACTCAATTGCTCTGTGATTGAATGCCGGGCGCGTTGTTAGCTCGGGGAATGGGGGGGGGAACAAAAAGCTCTTCCGAAAGCCTCGAGTCAAGCGCTGTCCACAGCGGCGGAGGCAGCGGCGAGCCATAAGCAACGCGGACCAAAGCTTAGGGCCCCAAGTAGCTCAGGGAACAGAAGTGGACCAAACTCTGTTCCGAGCTTGAAGTCATATCCCAATTGCCGTAAACTTGACGAAAAATACCTCGCCGTTCTAATAACACTCTTCAAATAATGCTGATTGGAAGTAGTCTATACGTTTAATTATTTCGCACGCAACCATGACATAATTAATCGATCTAGCTTGTCCAGGCAGCATGTGTTTTTTGGAGTCTGGTAACACACCCGATAATAATATCGGTTTCGGGCCCTGAATAGACTGGTACCACCGCTGGGTGTATGTAGGCACGTATTCTATATGTATTTATTATTTATTTACCGAATAAAGCCTCGCTGAGTCTCAACACTCCTTCTCAAGAGGGTCCTGCTCAGTTTTGCAGTCTGGGGCAATGTTGATACACGTTTGTCCAATTGAGAACAATGTGGGTTCTCTTTGAAATCTGGTATATTTGGACCATGAAGCTGGCAAACATACACACGTACACCTCACATATATACATATCTGAAGGTGTACGTGTGTATTTTATTTGAGAGGAATCTGGCTATTTATTTCCCCGTGTGTTATATAATTTATATTCGTCTTATTATTTGTCCATGTCTCCTTTGGTTGATCTGATTATTTTAACTGCTGCTCTGTAGCAGCGTGCATCCACAGGCCGGGTCAAAATCATTCACAAATAATCATCATGTTCCCTTCCTGTTCACCTAAATTGCATATCTGAAGATTAGCCACAACTAAATGACAACGGGAAATTTAAACCCAACCTGTCAAAACTTCACTACAAGTGTTTGTGTGGAGAGAAAAAAAACAACCTACGTGTTTGTGTTTGCCAAAGGACCATGCCTTTGCAGTGACATCATCATTTGGCGACAACAAAGCACCCTGAAAATAATGAAATTGCATTGGGTTCAGGTTGGCAGATTGTACAGGGGGTCAGATCACTGAGCCAGGGCACTGCCGAGATCACTGGCTCAAATCTGGGTTTCGGCCAATGCAGACTAAACTGCGTTCCCGGATGTCGCGAGTTCATGGCCTCAGCCCAGTCACCAAATTAGTGCACGCATAAAGCATTTCATCGTTCCATTAAAATTCAGCTTTTCCTTTAGTCTGGCCAAAATCCCACCTCTGGGAATATTTTTGTTTATCTGTTACGCATGCGGGAAGGTGCAGCTGCAGTTGTGCGGTGGATCAGAGGTCGCTTGAAGGCACCTAAGAAGTACAGTGAGGGAAAAAAGTATTTGATCCACTGCTGACTTTGTACGTTTGCCCACTGACAAAGAAATGATCAGTCTATAATTTTAATGTTAGGTTTATTTGAACAGTGAGAGACAGAATAACAACAACAAAATCCAGAAAAACGCATGTCAAAAATGTTATAAATTGATTTGCATTTTAATGAGGGAAATAAGTATTTGACCCCCTCTCAATCAGAAAGATTTCTGGCTCCCAGGTGTCTTTTATACAGGTAACGAACTGAGATTAGGAGCACACTCTTAAAGGGAGTGCTCCTAATCTCAGCTTGTTACCTGTATAAAAGACACCTGTCCACAGAAGCAATCAATCAGATTCCAAACTCTCCACCATGGCCAAGACCAAAGAGCTCTCCAAGGATGTCAGGGACAAGCTGTAGACATACACAAGGCTGGAATGGGCTACAAGACCATTGCCAAGCAGCTTGGTGAGAAGGTGACAACAGTTGGTGCGATTATTCGCAAATGGAAGAAACACAAAATAACTGTCAATCTCCTTTGGCCTGGGGCTCCATGCAAGATCTCACCTCGTGGAGTTGCAATGATCATGAGAACGGTGAGTAATCAGCCCAGAACTACACGTGAGGATCTTGTCAATGATCTCAAGGCAGCTGGGACCATAGTCTCCAAGAAAACAATTGGTAACACACTACGCCGTGAAGGACTGAAATCCTGCAGCGCCCGCAAGGTCCCCCTGCTCAAGAAAGCACATATACATGCCCGTCTGAAGTTTGCCAATGAACATCTGAATGATTCAGAGGACAACTGGGTGAAAGTGTTGTGGTCAGATGAGACCAAAATGGAGCTCTTTGGCATCAACTCAACTCGCCGTGTTTGGAGGAGGAATGCTGCCTATGACCCCAAGAACACCATCCCCACCATCACACATGGAGGTGGAAACATTATGCTTTGGGGGTGTTTTTCTGCTAAGGGGACAGGACAACTTCACCGCATCAAAGGGACGATGGACGGGGCCATGTACCGTCAAATCTTGGGTGAGAACCTCCTTCCCTCAGCCAGGGCATTGAAAATGGGTCGTGGATGGATATTCCAGCATGACAATGACCCAACACACGCGGCCAAGGCAACAAAGGAGTGGCCCAAGAAGAAGCACATTAAGGTCCTGGAGTGGCCTAGCCAGTATCCAGACCTTAATCCCATAGAAAATCTGTGGAAGGAGCTGAAGGTTCGAGTTGCCAAACGTCAGCCTCGAAACCTTAATGACCTGGAGAAGATCTGCAAAGAGGCGTGGGACAAAATCCCTCCTGAGATGTGTGCAAACCTGGTGGCCAACTACAAGAAACGTCTGACCTCTGTGATTGCCAACAAGGGTTTTGCCACCAAGTACTAAGTCATGTTTTGCAGAGGGGTCAAATACTTATTTCCCTCATTAAAATGCTAATCAATTTATAACAATTTTTGACATGCGTTTTTCTGGATTTTTTTGTTGTTATTCTGTCTCTCACTGTTCAAATAAACCTACCATTAAAATTACAGACTGATCATTTCTTTGTCAGTGGGCAAACGTACAAAATCAACATGGGATCAAATACTTTTTTTCCCTCACTGTAGTTCTGCAATGTCTCCTTCCGTGCGCCGTTCTCTTACACGGGTCAATCTGCTACTCTCTGAGAGTTACAAATTAGCACTCACCATTTGACGTGACGGTGATAGCACAGTTTTAAGAAAAAAAATAATGGGAAAACAGCACGTGCACTTCATCCGTGGATTCTGCTGCATCACAGGAACCTGAGTGATGGCAACAGCAGCTCGCGAGTGAGGCCTTCATCCGGGAGTGCAATGACCGTGTCTGACGATGATGACAACTGGAGTTACATCAAGGGGGGAGGGGGGCCGTCAGCTTGAGATCAGCGTGGCGCTCGCCGCGGCTCCGGGGAAAAGGGGGGGGGGGGGCTCGGGGCTCTGTTCAACATCAAAAGACAACAGCAGTATCGCTCCCTCCATCTCCTATCTGCGTCCTCACTCTTCAGGAGAGAATGAGAGGCGCCGCTGATAGCGGCGGTCTTTTTGGTGGGGCGCGTGAGCGCCCGTCGGATGAGAGATGTGTCGAGCCGCCCCTCGTGGCTGTGCGGGCGCCTTCATTTCTTGCAGCCCGCCCCCCCCCACACATGCCCTCTTCCCCCACCTCCCCGCCAACACCCCCACGCGTGTACACGTGTCAGGATAAACGTCCTCTTAAAAGATTGAGCCCTTCCGCCTGGAGTCACGCGAGCTCCGCCGACGCGCGCTCGGGACGGGCGCGCCGATTCCGAGATCAATCGCAGGCCACGTTTGGCATCAGATTATTCCTCAGCCGGAAGGCCGTAGCGGTGCGCGGTAGCGACGGGAGCGCGCCGTACAAGTGGGGAGCGGTTCCTCGCTCCGGCTGGAGCCGGCGCGACAGCGCGCTGCTGACAGGCCACCCCAACAGCGCACTCATGCGCACGACGGACCATGCTTGTTTTCAATCGAGAGCTGGACCAGCAGTGACCTCTCTCCCTCGGGGGTTGCCACCTGTCCAGGTGACGACCCAGGATCGTTCTCTATTCTGTAAGTCTTCACTTGCAGTTCTTCCCCTCTTCTCGTATTCGCGAGATATTCTTCTTCCCTGTGATATGTCCTGGTGTTGTGAAACCTCAGAGGTGGCAACCCTGAGGTTCAGTGACTTCTGGATTTACGCTGCAACTGTTGATGCAGGCACGATGCCCCGAGTACTGGAGTGAGGAGGCTCAGGCCCACGGGGTCAGATAAAACTTGAAACGGCATTTGCATGCAGCCCACGGCTACGTAAGGCCGACCACTACGAAGCAATGTTCATCTGTTATTACAACCATCTTGGCAGCGTTAATTTGGTACTGGAATGTTTTCATCCCGGCAACGAGACTGTGAAAGCGCCGCGCTCGGCCACTTCTGCCAGGGCCTCTTTCAGCTCGATGGGCGCGCTCGTTATTTTATTACATTTCATCATCATCATGCTCCTGGGGCAGATAGTCCGTAAGTGTCCACTGTACATTTCGTCATTTGTTTCCACTTTCCTCTATCTTGTGCCAATATGCTCAAGTAGTGCCACAGCCTTCTGGCACCAATCTCTTGCGATGTCGTCTCCGTTAGGTCTTCCTCTCTTTCCGGTTCCTTACATTTTTCCGCACAACACACTTTTAATGTTCCTGTTGTTGTACAGCCTACGACATGTGCGTCCAAATAGTGGCAGTTCCCTTCTCATCACTAGATTTGCTCATTTATAATCACAATTATAAGAATTATAGTACATCACTGTTTGGATTAAAAAAACAAATGTTCGTGATGTTAACATGCGGCCCCCTGCCAAAGGTGTTTCATTTTAAATTACTTTCTCAGCCTTCAGTAAGGAGACGGGTTTGCCCAACCGCCGCTGCGCTGACTCCCGCAACATCCTAGCCCAAAAGTCGCCCGGGTTTTGGTTTTGGTGGAGCGTGTCTGGGGGCTGGACAGGGGACGCACACGGAGTGTGAGCGCGCGTGTGGTACGCGCGTGTGGTACGTGCGTGTGGTACCTGCGCAAAGACCCTTCCCCCCCAGCCCTAACCTTGTCCACGTTCCCGTCCCTCCCCGTTCCCTGGCCCGTCCCCACGTGCGTACCTGTCGTACGTGTTTGTGCTTTGTGCGTGTGTGTGCGCGTGTGTGTGCGTGCGTGTGTGTGCGCGCGCGTGTGTGCGTGCGTGTGTGTGCGCGCGTGTCGTGGCGTAACACGTGCAGCTGTATTTGCAGCTCCTGCAGCAAGCTGTGGCGGCCGGCAGCCCTAGCACCCTGGCCGGCCTGCAGCAGATCGCCGGTGAGCTACTTGGGCCACGTCGCCCGCCAATGCCAACCGCACCGCACCGCCCTGCACGGCTTGCGACGTCCGCAGCCCCCCAGTGGGACTCGTAACCGAACATGTCCGTGGATCGACGCGTATAATCCTTCTCAATTCTTTATCCCTCTCGTCGAAACGGAAGGGAAGTGGGGGGGGGTTATGGAATTATTTTCACGGCAAAGAGAATAGGGAATTAACATTAAGCTCGGCGTGAATCATATAAATGAGATATTTGGCCAATAAGCCGACACTGGTGCTTGAGATATTTTTTCGGCATGGTTCTGATAATACCCTGCTCTACACTGTGAACCCCACCCCCTCCTCCGACACCAACCCACACCTCCCTGCAACGGCATTGCACACATACACGTAACACACACGTACCCACACGCACATCTCCACACATACCCACACACACCTGCACACACGCCCGGCACCCGCAGGATTGAACGCGGTGCAGCTGCAGGGCCTGGCCACGCTGGCGGCGGCCGCTGCTGTGAGCCAGGGGGCTGGCGGGGCCGGCGGAGGGGCCAACGCCCTCAGCAGCCCCACGGGAGGACTCTCGGCCCTCTCGTCCACGGGTGAGAGGAGAGCGCGACACGCACGCACAGACACAGACAGCGCCAAACACGTGTGTCCGTAACAGACTGTTGGGGCAAGTGCTGTTAGCGAGCTCTTCTGAATGGCCAACAGACACAAAGACATGCACACAACGCTCGCATAACTGTGCGAACAAAGACCAATATCCCCCGTGTAACCTTCAACAGACTGTTGGGGCACGGACGCACACAGCTACATACGTGTGTACACATGCGCACACAAAGATAAAGATCCCCCGTATAGCCTTGACATACTGTTGGGACATGTTAGCATGCACATATGAATGCCGGCATGGCACACGAGAGGGTGGGTGGCCAGAGCACCACGCCAGACCGCCTTTGTCTCCCCAGTTGCGATGTTTACACACCGCACCAGGTACTCATTTTAGGCTGAGTCGACCTAGGGGAGGCCCAGGACCGTGAGCGGGAATCGAACTCGGGTCGCCAGGTTCGTAGCGTAGCGCGCTAACCGCTACACTACCGCCCCCCCACACACACACACAACCCACAACACACACGTACACACACAACGCACGCATGGATATACTTGCTCGGGCAGTTGTGCATGGCCCACACGAGCCCAGCGTAATTTGCATTCTCATCTCTGATTGACAGCAATCAGAACGGCTGTGACTCATTTGCATGCACACACGGGAGAGAGAGACGGGGGATGGTGAGGGGGGGGGCTCCGTTTCTCATTTGGCATTTTTTTCTTTTTAAGACAAAAAAAGCCCACAAACAACAACAACAAACAACACAACAAACAACAACTCTTCCTCACGATTACCTCAATTCCATTATTCTTTTGGTTATATGCACCCATTTATTTCCACCCCCCCGCCTCCTCCTCCATCCATCTTTGTTTAAACAGATTTAATTTTATTTCATTTCTATTTGTTTAGGTTTGTTTTCCCTCTCCCTTTGTTAAAATTCATTTGGCTCAATTTCAGCATAGTAATTAATACGAGGAGTCACTTTAAGCCCGCCGTGATATTTACTCGGCTGAGTGGCGCAGTGGTTAGTAAGCCTGACTTGGGAGCCACAGGGTTGTGAGCTCAAAACCCATCGTGGTGTGGTGGGTGTGCGGGGGGAGGTGGATAAATTGAGTACCGCTTTGTAGAACGTCAACAGTGGTCATCCTGTGGATGAACTGCCGATATCTCCTTCGTGCGAATGTGGAATATCCTCAGCTGGTGCAGGCCTACTAAAGCACGATGATTTCGACCATATTTCAAAAAATGTGTTTTATAATTGACATCATTTTTACTTTCACCCAGGAAAAGCCTCACTGAGTCTCAACACTCCTTTTCAGGAGGTGGGCAGGGGGGGTGTTTGTCAAATCCCATAACAATGAGCACATGCCATGTGAGAGGAGACCAGCAGGATACCTCGGAGAAATCCCAGGCGTACAAGTGAATAACACTCATAACTCCACACAGATACATTCAAGAATCCATTGCTGTACTGTCATCTCCTCGCCACATCACTGCCCAAGACCACAATTCCCGGTATGCCTAGGCAATGTCCCCCATCCAAGTAATAACCAGACTCAAGCGATGTTGCTTCTCCTTCGAATTCTGCGAGAAAGTTGTAATGCTTTTCCTGCTTGGCACGTGTAAGCCAGCGTGGTTCCCCACGCGGTGCGGTGCGGTTTTCCACTGCCCGTTTGCCGTGCCGAGCCCGAGACCAAACAACGGTACCGCCGGCCTTGCGAAACATCTCAGTCTGGCCTGGGTCGCAGTGGGGCCAGGCGCGGGGATGATTGCGTGTTCACTGAGCGTGACGTTGTTATTCGGTTCCCTGGACGACTTGACGTCACTGCGTCATCTACACGAGATCCCAACTCGTTCACTGTGTGTCACATTGCTGTTAGGCCACACACACAAAAAAAACCTCAAAACAGTTGTTAATGCTGAAAGGAAAATATAGAATAGGCAACGTTTCTGGCATTGCACCTTCTTCTGTACAGAAGGGCCCATTTCCCAAAACGTCACCTCTTATATATTTTTTCCTTTTGAGGGCTCACCATTAGTGGCGAGTGTTGTTTATTTTTTTTATTAGTATTAAAATCCATGCCCGCGCACAACTTTCCAACGCAGCAGCAGCATCGCCGAATAATTTTTGTCGGAAACGGCTGTAACCCCCCCCCTGCCCCCACCCTCCATCATCGACGTGCGTTACCACGCGCTCGCTCGTCGCGATGAATCTGACGCCAGGGGCTCGGCTCGACACCCCGAGCCACGCCGGGTTGAGCTTGGCACGGCCCCAGCACGGCTCAGTCGCGCAGCGGAAAAAGTGGCCCAGAGAAGGGAACGGCGTTGAGCTTGAGGTCCGTACGTTCCGGTTTCTGTTTAGGCGGCCACGGCGGAGGAGCGGGCGGCGCTGGGGCCAGTACCCTGGCCTCCCTGGGGGCCCTGCACAGCCTTGCTGGGGCCTCGGCCATCAGCCCGCTCACCGGTAGGCCCACGCGCCGTCGCTCACACCCAGGGCTGGAGTCAGGAGCCTTTGTCCCGGGGCAGAAGGGAGCCCCCCCCCCCCCCACTCACGCCTCCACCTGTCCTCCTCTCCGTCACCCCCAAAGACAAAGACCCCCCACCCAATATAACCTTAACCGAGTGTTGGGCCAAGTGCCATTTAGCGAGCACCTATGACGGCCAGTATGGCACGCTAGGGGGTGGTGTGGCCAACACCACGCCGGGCCGCCTTTACCTCCCTGCTGGTGATGCTTACACACCGCACTGAGTACTCGTTTGAGGCTGAGTCGGCCTAGGGGAGGCTCAGGACGGGTTCAGATCATAGTCTCCGCCAGACACACACAATCCCCAAACCTTGCTGCTTAATGTCCGATGTGGGGTGGAGGGGGGGAATAAACATTGCAGGATGAAATTAAAGCAACACACGCACAAAAATCAGCAGCAGCGGTTAATAAAAGTGGCATTCTTCAGCTCTCCGGAGAGCTGTTGAGGACGAGCGTGGGAACCTAACGCCGTCGTGGAAGCGTTGTCTACGCTCGTCATGATTAAACAATAACGTGAACAACAACAGCAAGTCCCACTTCTGTTAATTCAATCAATTGTTTCTACTTTCTTACGGGGCCCCGCCTGCAATTTCGAGCTGTGAACAAATGAACTAATATTGATGAAATGATGCACTCCTACAAGGCCATGTGGCTGATGAGATGAGTGAGAAATGCTTAATTTTATAGGACAGATATGTAAAGATGGCCCTCTTGCCTCACTTATATGTATTGAAATAAACACTTGTTCCTTCGTGAAAAAACAGAATACACAAACAAACTAAAATCTTTCATCCGACATGTTACCTCCAAAGTAATATCGTCTCTAAACCATTTGTAAACAGCTCTGTGATTGGTGTAGACCTACTGCAGGTGACGGAGACCTCTCCTACATTAACATTAGTTGCCCCGCCCATCTCTAAACCTGCCTCGGCAGATTTCCCCCTCTTTTGTCACCTGAAGACGATTGCTTGTGTTGCGATCGAAACGTCGTGATATTGTATCATTTTTTCTATCTACGTGGCTTTACCGAAAGACCCAAATAATATGAATTCCTGCAGTCACGAAAGCTTTAAGTCAGGAATCAACAAAATTCGTTTATAGTACAGCTTAGCGGTATGTTGGAGAGCAAACATTTACACTGGTGTGCTGTACTAGTAACGAATTGGCACGTTCTGTTTACATGACAAACCTCTACTAATTGGCTGTGTCGGGTGGTGGCGGGTTTAACGACACATTTATATTTACGCGATCTAACACGATCTAACCATCTCCAAACAAACCTATATTATGGATGATATTGGTTCGCGAAAGCCTTACTACGTGTTTAAAAAAAAATGCACCAAAAATTTCCCAGCAGGCATTGCGGCGCTGAACGGCAGCCTTGGCGTCGGGGGCCTGGCCAATGGCTCGGGCAGCGGCGTGGACGCCCTGGCTCAGGCCTACTCGGGCATCCAGCAGTACGCAGCCGCCTCGCTCCCCAACCTGTACGCGCAGAGCCTCATACAGCAGCAGCAACAGCAGCAGCAGCAACAACAACAGCAGCAGCAGCAACAACAGGGTGCGGCCGGCAGCCAGAAAGAAGGTATTTATTAGCAGCCATGGGAATGTGGAATTCCCGCCACTGGGTTAGGGACAGCCAGCAGAGGTGACCGCAGCCGGTGTTGGTGACGTCGCGATGTCATTTCCAGATCGAGTGATCTTCTGGGTTTACCTCGTGGCAACATTTATTCAAAGTGACTGGCGACAAACATACTGTACAGTGACCCTCACTGCAGCCAGAACTATGCAGGAGCTGGGGGTAATTCCCAGGCATGTGTTAAAGATCCTCCATCAGCTTACTGTGCGCAGTTTCATTGCAAATTGTCTCGTATTTTTGATGGATTCAGTGAGTCACTTGAGGAACATCTAGCCACGTGTTTGGCGACTTTCCGCTCTTTGCATAGCTAGCCAAAACTAACGCCGTGACCCCACTACTCATTCCAACAGGAAGACTCCCTGACTATGACGAGGGGCATTCTGCCCTGGGTGCCTCCCACACTTTTTTTCTAGCTCGTTGGGTTACGCAACCTTTTTGTCCTCTTCGTCGTCATAGCAACGGAGCGTCAATCTGTCACTCGTGCATGACCATCACCAGTTGTCTGGTCCCCGCGGTTTGCGACAAAAATATGGATTTCTTGTCCATTGATGAAACGGCTACGTCGTTTGGGAGTAACACCCGTCGTGATTGAACCGCGACGCCGCGGGTGTGCGCACATGGGCGCTTTCTTACGGCTTCAGGTAGAGAAAGTATTTCTCTAGCTGGCACACCACATTAAGCGTACCTCTCTCTGTGGCTGTGGCTACTACGAGCCACAAGCCACCTCTTAGCCTACTCCAGTCGACCGGTGTGAAATTAAGGGCCTGCGAGTTATATAAATAATTAATAAAACATAACAACGCAGGGCAGGGCGAAAGGAGATAGGATGGTGGGTGGTGTGCAGTGAGCGGTGCAGAGAAGCGTAGACGCACGTACAGACGCATAACGCGGGCGACTTGAGTGGCTCTGAAGTTTGCCATGCAGGAACCGGTGGGGAGTCGTAGGCTTGCGGTTAGCGCTACGCTGCGCTACGAACCTGGCGACCCGAGTTCGATTCCCGCTCACGGCCAACACCAGTGACGATTTATTTGAACGGGTCCTGGGCCTCGCATAGGTCGGCTAAGCCTCAAATGAGTACCTGGTGTGGTGTGTAGTAAACATCGCCACAGGGGAGACAAAGGCAGCCAGGCGTGGTGTTGGCCACCCACCCCCTTTGTGTGCCGTGCCAGCCTTCGTAGGTGCTCGCTAACAACACTTGCCCTAACAGTCTGTATCAGGCGAAATGGGGAATCTTTGTCTTGTGTGCCCGTGTGTCCATTATCTCCCAGGACCGGAGGGAGCCAACCTGTTCATATACCACCTGCCGCAAGAGTTCGGGGACCAGGACCTCATGCAGACCTTCATGCCGTTTGGGAACGTGATCTCGGCCAAAGTGTTCGTGGACAAGCAGACAAACCTCAGCAAGTGCTTTGGTGAGAGCTCGACGTGGCACGCCCGGCCGCCGCGCCTGCCAGAGGTCAAAGCGCCCAAATCGCGCTCGGAAAGGCTGGGAGTTCAGGTCACGGTCGGGCGTCGATCGCACCGCGTTCAATAGAACACGCCGCGTGCTGCCGCGGAAGGTTCATGCCGCACACGTAGCGGTGCGCCGGTTTCGCTGGGTAAAAATCAATTTACGTGCTCACAGTAAATTAAAACTCGTATCTGTGACATTCGTCGATGGTGCCGTTTGTTGCTGGCCGCGTGACGTTGTGGGCCATTGAGTTTGTGCTCGGCACAGCAGCGATTCGGAACGAAAATGCAACTAATTTTGCTGCTTGGGAATTAATTTTGTGTGATGAATGCAAATGATTTGACCGTGTTATGTTCAGGTCTATGGGGTGGACAAGAGTATACAAATGAGCTGGATATATATTATTTTAATAACATAAACGGGATTGTAAGATCGAGACAAAAAAATGTTGGCTTATTGCACGGCTTATGAGAAGATGTGTTGGAAAATTGTTACCTGTGAGATTGTAATTTTACATTAATCTACTTGGTATATTTATTTGAATGTGGTACAGTGATGTAATATTCATATACATGTTGTAAGGCTTATGAGAAGATCGTATGGAAAATGGCTCAGTGCTGTGCTGTTAACATTTGGATGTGGTATTGGCTTTTGTAAGACGCCTCGGGAGTATTTCTCAGATGAAAGACGCCATGAATACACCTTGTACATATGAGTAGTGAACAAAGAGAAAGATACCCCGTATAGCCTTAACATAATTCTTGGGGCAAGTGCTGTTTGTGAGCAGCACCTATGAAGGGCTGGTATGGCACACGAGAGGGGGTGGGTGGCCAGCACCACGCCCGGCCGCCTTTGTCTCCCCAGTGGCAACGTTTACACTTCGTACCATGTCCTCGTTTGAGGTTGTGCCGACCTAGGGGAGGCCCAGGACCTGTTCAGATATTCGTCACTAACGCTCTCCGTGGGCGGATTGTGACAGCCTAAAATCCAGATTCCATTCCACGCATTACCTTTCGGCCACTGCCGAGTAAGCAGCTAAGACGCCAATGCGAGGAATTTCACAAACTTACGACAGACTGAAAGTTCACGATAATAATATATAAAAGGGGCAATGTTCACAAATCCGTGCCTGAGAGACCCGGAGCTCAGGACTGGCAGGGCAATAAATGCGTGCTTTATGATGAGCATTACGCTCTGAGGGGTCCTCCCCAACAAAATGAATGTCACGGGCTTCACGGACAAAATTAATTGCTCTCGGTCATGGAAATGTTTCTCGTTAAACACCGCCGTCTGAAAATTAAAGACTTCGGCGCGAGCGTCGTGCTGCGTGGCCGAGCGCTTTCTGCTCGGAGGGGGCGCAAGGCAGGCGTCTCGCCGCGACGCAGCCACAGGGGTCACGGGACACCCCGCTAGGAAAAACGACAAGTGAGCCCCGTCAACCGTTTGATTCGACGCCTTAAGGATGAGCTCACGAGCAGATGCGGTGAATGCGAAATCCAGAAAATGGGCCGTGGCCAGATGTTAATGGAATTACGCGTAATTATGGGTGAAGATTTATTTTGTAAGTTTTGAGCTGTAAAAGGAACGCGACCCCCCCCCCCCTCGTATTAAACGTGGGATCGTCGGTTGATTGTAAATTATTCCACGTGCCGAGTGCAGCAGGTGGTTACATCTCAGTGGGGCCTCTTGTAATAAAAGTGGAATCCAGTAGAGAAATAACTTTGTTTATTTTAATGTAATTTAGAATAGCTTACCCTTAATTAATGCACTTCTATGATTGTATTTCTCACTTCTCTCCCGCTCTCTCTCTCCCGCTCTCTCGCTCTGTCTCTCTCGCTCTCCCACTGTCAGCCCGTTTGTATCTCTCTGAAGCAGCGTGCGCGGCCGTCCACACGCTTCAATTTATGGGCGGTTTATTATAATCCTTTTTGTTTCTTTTTTTATTTCGTTTAATGAAAGAAAATCACAGAGGAGTAAAAATATGCAGAGGTGGAAAGAGATTTCAATGTGGCGATGGTCACAAAGACGATGGTGGTGAGAGTGACGTTGATGATTGTGGTAATGATGATTATGGTGGTGAATACAATTATGATACTCTTTGATTTTAAATACCCCGATTGTTAAGTGGTGGACACTCGAGGTTAGGGTCGCAATAGCTCGATTGTACTAATACGTTATGGTGTTAAAATGTGGGCAGCTCTGAGACAGAAGCTGATTTTAATGGAAATATCATAATTATTAATCACCTCGGAAAGCCACAGAATCTAAGGACTATTTTTCAGAAGGGTCCTGCGTTGGGTTTTTATTTTTTCAAGACGTGTTCAGCCAATTAATAATGAATGTTTATCATACAAGTGGGAGAGAACTGAGACACCCGGAGAAAACCCACACGTGCGTGGAGTCAATACTCTATCCCCGTACAGACAGAAACAGATGGGGATTATTCCACTTGCTGTACTGCCTTCAGAACAGCCAGGGTATGCATCTCGAGTACGCATCGGTGACCGTCGTTTTTGAACACCCCACCCTCTTTGTCTCTCTTCTCTGGGCCCTCCTCCAGGTTTCGTGAGCTACGATAACCCCGTGTCAGCTCAGGCCGCCATCCAGGCCATGAACGGCTTCCAGATCGGCATGAAGCGACTCAAGGTGCAGCTGAAACGCAACAAGAACGACAGCAAGCCCTACTGACGAGGGAGGGGGGGGTGGGAGGGAGCCGGGTGGCCCAGGAAGGGGGACGGCGCGTGGGGGGTGGGTCCGGGGGAGGGGGTACCTACCCAGGGAGCACCGTGGTTCAGGCACGGCTCCTGAGGCTTTGTGGGTTTGGTGTAATCCAGGTTGGGGACCTGGGTATCGACGGTGGACCAGGTTTGTAAATGCATATCCGGGACCAAAACACACGACCTTTTTTTTCCAGGCGGGGCTGGGGTATGGGAGGGGTGCGAACGCGGCTGAGAAGGAGGTTGTCGAGTGAGGGGTGGCGGGGGCGAGGGGGTGGGCGGATGAGCGGTTGGCGACGATGTCGCGAGTGGCAGGCGAGGTGGGCCTGTGGTCGTTGAGGACGGGGGAAGCCGTCTCGTTTCGGGAGAGGAGTCTTTTCTCCGCGCCATCAGAGTCCGCTCGCCGATCGGTGAGAGTGTCCGTAAAAGTGTCGACGCATTTTCCTGGCGCTCGTTTTTTGGTCTGGCCACTCTCCCCGGACTCTCCGCGGACTCCTCTCTCCGTAGACTTTGCCCAGACTCTGTAACCCACCACCGCTCTTCTGAAGTTGATGGATGCCACACAGCCACACGCGCCCCGAACCTGACACCCGCAGCCATCCGCCCGATCCATCCATCCGTCGTACTTCCTCCCCCAACTTGTACCCTCAACCACTGCACTCTCAGCCACTGCACTCAGGGGGTGAGACAGAGGATGGGAGAGTGTCGGATTGTGCTTGGGCATGTACAGCTCTTTAACCTCATCCATCACTGCCAAATTTTTCATTAACTGTTTTCTTTTTTTGTTTTTCGAATTTATTTTTCATTTTGTAGCATTTCAAATATATTGCAGTATATATACGACATATATACTGTGAATATCAATACATAGATAATGTATAATATATACTGTATATAGCTATATAGTATACAGTATATTTACAACAGATACAGTACTGTATATAAAGATGCAACTGGTGCATACGATGCAAAATTCATGGAACGATGTCATTTAACTTGCAGAGGTAAAAAGTCAGCTGGTCAGTATGCGTGAACATTGGCGTAAGGTAGCGGGGTCGCTCAAAAGTTACTCAAAAGATGCTGTGGTCAATTTTTGAAAACCCTGACCAGAGCAACTGTGGATTAGGAACATGTAGAAGTCAACCTGATTGGTTATTTTAGGTCACATGTTTTATAAATAACTAAGTAAACATCCACACACGTGGCACGAGTATGGAATTAATCACAAGCACGAAAAAACGACCTGAAAGTTAGGGATGTTATAACTTGATGAAAGGATTAAGTTGAACCCTAGGAGGCAAATTTAAACATACGTAATCGCAGACGTTTCCCCCCAAAGGGTCAGCCCGTGGCACCGCACTCGGGGCCTATTGCAGGGCCATCGGTGGACATCCACTCACGATCACTCGAGGCTCCTCGACACCTGGGGGACGTTTCCCGACTAGGAACTAAACCACGACCGATCGATCACCGCCGTTATGAAGTTCGCAGTGGAACAAAGGCCTCTCGCTGTTTACACATTTTTGCATTCGTTCCATAAAAAGAAACACACGCGGTGTTGACGTTACGTTTACATTCACGTATCGGCGCACGTGCACAACAGGGGGAAGGATGGGGAGGGTGGGGGCAGCGGCTTTGACACACGAGAGGATTGTGCCCGACGGAAACAACATTGTGACGCGAGGCGCGAATGTGAAATCCACCGTGCTTGGCCCGGGTGGTGCAAAACTGTGCCACCGCGACGCAGAGACGCAGTTGCGCTGGGCTTCCGTGGGGAAGGGGGGGGGAAGGAAGAGACCGAATGCTTCCATATTTCCTCGGAGGGCGGGCGATTATGGAATGTCTCTCTCTCTCACACACACACCTTATCGTTCTCTCTTGAGAGAACGTGCCGTTATCATTCAGCAACCCCGCGGCGCTTGGCCCGCGTGCGTGCGTGCGTTATCCGTGCCGCTCTCTGCCGATGCTCTGTGCCGCTGACCGCCGCGCAAAATTTCATCGTCGTTGTTCAGCCGCTGTCGCCCGCCCCGCCGTTCATCCACCACGCGTCCCCGCGGCAGCTGCGTTCGCACATTCACGGCACTCTTCCCTTCGGCGGTGGTGGCGGCGGCGGCGGCCCCACTTGTCAACCGATTTATTTGGTTCGTTTTGTACACACACAGACGCACGCGAGTGCGCGCGCACACACGTTATAAATATATATAAGCGTAAGAAGCAGGGTTTTAAGTGGTATTGGACACAAGCAGACATGTGAAGACAATCTGTCATCTGCTTACAAAGAAACAAACAACAAAACCAAGACCAAGGTGAAGAAATCAACAAAAAATACAAAACCCCACCACCACCGACGTGAAATGCGCACTTCTCACCAGATGTAAAAAAAAATAGAGGGTTCAAACACAGAACAACAACAGAAACAGGGAGACCAACAAATTCGACGAGGTTGTGTGTGAGTTTGAAGGCTTTAGTTTCCCTGCTCAGCAACCGTTTTGTTGCACGCTTCAAGTCCCAATGTTTACACGTGCTTCACTCGGCAACTTTATTTTGCCTTTTGCCAAACGATGCTCCCAGAAGAGAGAGTTGAATCGTCAGGTGACAGAGGCTTAAAGTTACTGTTATATCGCGATGGGGGGGCTTGAGCATTTTTACGTAAACTCGTCAATAACTTATAAAATGCAGGCGAGAGAGGGGGGGCGGAGAGAGAGAGAGATCGAGCGAGAGAGAGAGAGCGTATTGTACTTAAAGGTGATGCGTACACACAACTTGAAGGTTTTTAGGAGAATGTTATTTAAAATAATGATAATTTAAAAAAAAATAATTTTATCAAAATATAACTCAAAATTATGCTACCAATTTAATCTGTCGGGTAGAGGCCATTGCTCTGTATATTTTATTGACAGTATTTCTATTTTTATACGGGTTTTTTATGAAGTCATATGGCTCAAATGATAATTTATTTCCTAACTTATTTGGCACTTGAAAAATAAAGTTTTTAAGACAGGTCGGTAGTACATGTTCTCGTAGTTTTGTTAAAGTGCTCAAGGTGTTTTCACACTTGTTCTGAGGTTGTCTGGGATCAAGTTTTGTCTAAGACAAGCTGCTACATTTGAACTGTTTAAAAGTGCGTTTTACATCACGACTTGCATTTTTATTATTCGTTTGCCAAGATGCCATTAACTAATGTTTTTTGTTGTTGTGTGTGTGTGACCGTTTTGCACGTCACTGCATCGTCTCTTTGGCTCGTTACATCTTATAACCGCGTTGGGTTTTTTTTGTTTGTTACAAAAAATGTTATATTTCTCTTTTCTCCGTAGCGCATCATCAGCTTGCACGTGGTTTTAAAGGCACGGGGGCCCCATGTGTGGGGGTGAAGCCACTCCCGAAAGCTGGTTCAGTTTTGGCCGATCCACGGAAAGTTAGGGGTCGGTCATCCTTTAATGTCTCCGCGCACCGGTGGTCGGGTTTCTTTGTTGTGCGTTCGTGATTCCTCATTTCGGGAACAGTTTTTTTTAAATATCTCGCGGTGCGTGCACTCAACCGTGAAAACCCCCAGTTCCACAGCGTCGAACTTTTTTTTTTCCGAGAAGGAACGGAGCATGTTGTTAGGAGATTATTTGGATCGTACATCGTGTGTCATTTACCTATTTGCGTTGTGTCCAAGCCAAAATGCTGGGGGGGGAAAAAAAGGCAAAACAAATGCAAGACTAGAATTTATGCGCTTTGTGCTTCGTCGAGATTTTGTCTAAACCGCTGGAGATTTTAAACGTTTTTTTTTGTGTGTAAACGTCTCCGATGTATATTCCCCATAGATTAAAGGGAGAGTAAGTTGGAGGAAAAAAAAGTCGACGAAAAACCAGAAAAAAATATGTCACCTTTATCTTTTTGCGTTACTTTTGCGGCGATACATAATTACGCATTGGAGCATGTGGTTTGTGGCACGGCAGAATTGTGTCAAGTGGCGTCTTGTTGTTTGAGATTCACGAAAGGGCCTCCTCGCCCGGGTCACCCCTCGCCCCCCCCCCAACACGTTGTTTAGACTGCCTCCAGCTTCGTTTGTGGCGCTACCAACACCCCCCCCTCTCTCCTCCGACCAACAGCGACGGAGGATTAAGAGACAAGGAGTTTCGCCAGTCAAGAATGCCTGAAAAAGGGTATTTTTATACTTAAAATGAATATAATTTAAAAAAATATATGAAGAAGAAACACGAATGAATGATTAGACAACAGATGGATATAAATTAAAGGTGTGTAAATTAAATAAAAAGTCAGCGAATGAAGAACGCTAAATTTAACATACAAAAAATTATCTTGGAAGAGCTGTTTTTTTGTACACTAGCCAGGCTGTTATCTTGCTATACTTTGTGTGTTGTTGTAACTGTCGTCTGCCGTTGTTGGTGTTTTTTTGGAGCTCGTTGCAAAAGCAATATGAATTGTTACCGCGGTGAGAATTGAAGATGCAGGTTATACATTCCTCCCCGGAGGTGATTATGGGGCAGGCGCTCACAAAGGCCACCGCTCTCCAATCACCTCTCGTTTGAACACAGATCTCGACGTGTATTGCGTTTCGTCTGAAGGCAGGAGATCTACTCTGTGGCCACAACGTCCCTCTGCAGCATGCACCCTGCGGCAAAGGCGAGGCCCCTGGCGCATTCTGCCCTTGCAATTTGGGAATTATTGGAATACGGGAAATGCAGCGGACGGTAGATTGGGAGACGATCCGATGTGATCTGGCCACCTCGAAGCCCAGACCTGACAACAAGGGGAATACCTGGCAGATTGACAAATATTGAGGATATTGAAACAGCTGTCCGGAATTTGCTTGTGCAGTTACACAGCCATCCGCTTGGGAAGATCTGTGGTGGAGAACTGGGGCACGAATCCAGCCTGCGTGCTGAGAATGGAGGGCAACAAACGTAGCTGTTCGAGTCGAGGAGCATCGTCTTTTTTTCATGCAAAGGAACTTTGTGGCCACCCTGTATATGTCCACAAACATGCATACAT